AAAAATCTTTGAATATATCACAAATACATGTAGCATTGAATGAGAGTTTCAATGTTTTTTTGAGACACAAAAACACCAAAAAAACGCCCTTTTCTATGTTTAATACTAACGAAGGGAATCTGAGATTACCCCATTGCACGCGCTTTGCAAATTTTAGTGAGGGGGGGGGGGACACGCCCGCCACGCCCCCGCCTGAAGCCTCCCCTGACAACAGTAAAAACAAGAGAGGCAGAAAATACCAAAGGGATATTCATGCTGATAATTCGAAGATAAACTGACAACGCCATGGCATAAAATGAAAAACGACCAAAACACAAACAACAGTATACAAAACACAACAACAAAAAACTAAAGACAGAGCAACACGAACCCCGCCAAAAACCGGGGTGATCTAAGGTGCTCCGAAAGGGTATGCAGACCCTGCCTCACATGTGGCACCCGTCGTGTTGCTCATTTAAGAACACATTCGGTGATAAGTCTAATTCGATGATGTCACATTCGAGGAAAGAAGAAGGGAGTGTGGTTATGACAATTATAACATATCCATCGTCATCTGTGAAACAGGTATTCCATAACGATCAACCAACTCGTGACGACATCCGTAAAATAAGAAGGGTGACTTCAACTTCACCACTTGGAAGCCTTGGTTTAATAGCTTACTTGTAAGCAGCAACCTCTATCTAGGAATTCGTGATAGCAAATGCAATTTGGAAAATCGTTTCAATGGGAGATATATACTCCATATGCAGGCGCTGGATTTTTGCTACATGGAAACGGAACGATCACAATTTGGAAACTGAAATGATCTCATTTGTTGTAAAGTTTTGTTCTCAACCGACCTTCATTGTCAAATTATAAATGTAAGTCAAGATTTGAGGCAGACTTAACTGTATCTCTTATATCCTTTATTTTAAGTTCGATGGTGAGTTTATATAAATGCGTTTAACATAGTAAAAAACCTTTGAATTATTAAGTGAGAACGTTATCATGTGTGTTTCTACACTGTTCGTGATATTACTGTATAAAATCTATGAACAGATATATGACATTTTACCTGAAAATTACAATATGTCCAATACTTTCAAAACAGAGATACAAGTAATCGTAAGTGGACTAGATACATCAATTTATATATAACTCCGAGCATAATATCAAGAGGCCTTAATTTGTAGTTGCTGAGAAAAGTGTTGAAAAATAGAAATATCAAACGCTTGGACAGGCAGGAATGGACAAAAGTCGATGGATTGGAGATTAATGCTTTATGGCCTTTGGAGCACTTTTTAAATATGTTTAACGAAATCAGCGGCATTACAAGTATGATATAGTTAGAGCAACTCTTTTTTAATCTTGGTTGTAAACTGTTGATTTTGATTTTTATTGTACGTATTTAGTAACTTTTCCATATCAAATAGTATTAACATATTTCTTCATATGATAAGGCAGTTATTTCAAATACTTTCTACAGACTTTTATGTCACCTTTAATATATTCCTTATCACTGCTTTCATATCATCTGGACAAAAAAATAATCTTATTTTGATGCTGATTTCAAAAGAATTTGTTTTAATGCTTATGATGCCAAACAGTGGAGAACTAATGCATGACAGCATTATTTGTTTCAAATATGTTCTACCTTCCGGTATCTTCTTTTTGACCAACATAGTCTACTCGAATTATTTTCCCTATGAATACGTTATTTTTTGCCAAGTTATCTAACACACATCTCGATGTGTCCCATGGTTGCCTAAGTGTAATGTTTGTATTGGTTGGTTTTTTTATGCACCCTTGAGTGTGATTGTCGGGCTAAATTATACTGACATGATTGATTTCTTTGCCAGATTTATTTTATTGATATTTCTCCATGACTTTGTTCTTCAATTCAGTTGTGGCGTGATTGTCAGTTTGCAAAGAATTCCGCTCAAACCGGTGTTAAACTTGCAGTGAGGTGAGAGTTTTTTGGCTCCATGTTGAAGTCCTCATTGTGACTTTGAGATGAAGAACAGCAATAAAAGGAACAGCTTTTTGTGTTTTTTGCCGTGCGTATACTGATTTTGTGTCATGAATGGATATCCTATATTCTTTTTTCTATGAGATAAGTTCACACTGCAATGCCTATTAATAACTGATTGTCAAAGCTAGCTTCAAGTGGATGTCCTCCATTATTGAACTTCTATGTCCTGAACGAGATTAATTTCCCCCTCAGTCCGTAAATTTCTTAGCAGAACTAGTCCTATTAGATTACCCATGCATTGAATATTCAAGATATTAAACTTTGTAATATGATTTCAGCTTCATTCATCATTTTGTAGCATGTTTTAAGCTAACCTTTCCAAAGGAAAGGTGAGCTTTTGAAATCACTTGGCGTCCGTCGTCGTCCTCCGTCGTCGTCGTCGTCGTCGTCCGTCCGGTGTAAACTATTTCAAACACTAGTCTTCTCCACTGAAACTACTGAACCATTTCCAACCAAACTTCAGCTGAATGATCCTTAGGGTATATTAACAATAAAGTTTGTGTTTCATTTTCTGTTTCCTCAAAAAACATGGCCGCCATGGCTAGAAATAGAACATAGGGTAAAATGCAGTTTTTGACTTGTATCTCAAAAACTAAAGCATTTAGAGCAAATCAGACAAGAAGTTACAGTATTCATTAGGTCAAGGTCTACCTGTCCTGAAATTCTCAGCCAAATCGGGTGTCTGATTTTTAAGTTATTGCCCCTGAATTGATGATTTTAAGGAAATTTTGCATTTTCGGTTATTATCTTGAATATCATTATAGATAAGGATAAACTGTAAACAGCAAAAATGTTCAGCAAAGTCAGATCTACAAATTAGTTTTATATGACCAAAATTGTCAATTGACCCCTTAAGGAGCAATTGCCCTTTAAAAGACAATTTTTCACAATTGTTCATCTAGTTTGCTTACTTTTAAAAAATCTTCTCCTTTGAAACTGCTTAATCAATTTCAGCCAAACTTGGGCTTAATGAGTTTCAGAGTATCTAGTAAATTTTTTTATTTTATTTCCTTGTATGTCAAGAAACATAGCCACTATGGCTAAAATGGAACATAGGGGTAAAATGAATTTTTTTATCTTTTGAAGAAATACGATAGATACAAATAACATTTAAATGGCATTTTTAAGCCACTCATTAATATATATTGAAAAGCAAAAATAATCATTGATGAAAAATTTAAGCAAAAAATTACAGGTGAGCGATTCAGGCTCTTGAGAGCCTCTTGTTAAGATTTACAACCTAAATAAAGAACATTACTTACAAAGAAAGCTGAAAACTGAGAAAAAATTTCTTCATCCAAAATTAGATGAACACTAATTCTACAATAGAATCTATGTTCATCTAATTTTGGATGAAGAAATTTTTTCTCAGTTTTCAGCTTTCTTTGTAAGTAATGTTCTTTATTTTTTTTTTCTATTGTAGAATTAAGTTAGATAAAACATTTTACCTAACTGAGACAATTAGATTTTCAAAATTCAAAATGTGAGGCTTGTCCTTGACATTTTGCTGTCTGTTGTTGCATTCATTCATATTGCATGAGATACAAGTGTACAGCTGGTTTCCATCAATGATTTTTTGAGCTATGTGCAGGCTAACATTGACTTTGTTTTCTGATAATATGTACCTGCATAATGCAGGTTCTTTCAGTTTTTTGCATCAATATTTACAAGACTGAGTATCTTTTAGTCACTGTTTTTGTAATATGCTTATAAATCCTTATATGGTAACTACTGACAAGGTAAGCTGAAAACTGAGAAAAAACTTCTTCATTCAAAATTAGATGAACATAGATTTTATTATAGAATTAAGCGAGATAAAATATTTATCCAACCGAGACAATCAGATTTTCAAAATTCAAAATGTGAGGCTTGTCCTTGACATTTTGCTGTCTGTTGTGCATACACTCTGACATATTGCATGAGATACAGGTGTACAGCTGGTTTCTCTGAACGATATTTAGGCTATGTGCAGACTTACATTGACTCTGTTTTTTGATACTGTAAATTCAGAAATTATTGCGATGCTTTTATTATTGCGAAAAATGCGACAGGGTTCTAATCGCAATAATTTTAACCTGCATTTTGAATTTTTTTATATGAATTAAACAGGATTGATCTCAATATCGCAAAAATTATATCGCATTTTAGTCTAAAATGACAAAATCGCAATAATTTCTGAATTTACAGTAATATGTACCTACAAAATGTAGATTCTTTCAGTGCCATTTTTTTTGGGGTGGGGGGGGGGGGGCTCAGGGTCAGTGGTCTAAGTACTTCCTCTACAGTGATCAGTAGCAGGTAGACACTGATAAGGTTGTGATTTCAAACCCTGTTACTGGCAAGGTACAATTTGACTCTAATCTTAATTGACTAAGATTGCTAAACCTCTGTTATTCTCTCCAGCAGGCACTCCAGCTTCCACCACCATTAAATCAGGCAGCCTTAATATATCTTGAAGAGGACTGAAAGTTGAGTTTTATAGAAACATACAATCAATTAATCAATCTGTGTAATTTAACATGGCCTCCTTATTACTGCTGTCACAATTGCAAAAACAGAGAACAGCAAGGCAATATGTCTTAGAGTTTGACAACGAAAAACGAAAAGACAAACAACAATACACAAAACACAACATAAAAAACTAAAGACTATGCAACACTAATCCACCAAAAACTGGGGTGATCTCAGGTGCTCCAGAAGGGTAAGCTGATCCTGCTCCACATGTGACAACCCTCGTGTTACTCCTATAAAATATGTTGTTATGTTATATCAAGTGATTAGGCATCACACAACAGTGGATTAGTAATTGACTCTTATCTAACAGGATGACATCACCAAATTCATAAACCATAAATTCATGTAAATTTTCTAACCCCTAAACTTAACCAAATGTGAAATTTTGAATCGAAACAATTTTTCATGTAAATATATAAAAATATAAATAAACTATGAATTTGAAAAAAAAAAAATAAATAACAGATACATCAAATTTATTTTGACACTCTTTAATATCTTCATAATAAATATTTTTCATAAGCAATAACAGACACAACAATGTCGTTTCTGTAAATGTTTTGATGCTGATATTGATGAAAATTACTATCTATATCTACAAATATAAAAACAACATAAAAATGTATAGTCTTTGTAAAACAATCAATTCAGTCTTATAGATGGTTGTGTTCTTTCATAAAAACTAAAAACCCTTCATACTGTGCACACAAATTAATATCTTGTGAGCTCAGTATAGACACAAAAATTACAATAGCCTTTAGATTTTTTGGGGGTTTATTATTATAGAAAATTCTAGCTTATAATAGTTGATTAAAAATTCTTTATCTTATTGTGTTTGAAACATACTCTGGATGAAATTGACAGGAGTTATTTCCCTTTCACAATATGATCTAACAATTCTGGTAAATATTCTAAACAATTTGAACAGTATAAATTATATTTACATGCATTAAAACATTTTCCTTGACAGATATATTTATAAATAAAATGAATCATAAAATAAAAGTTCTATATACCTGACTGTATGTATTACTTTTCTAGTTATATACTTTTAATATGGTCAGTTATATAGGGTATTTATTATACTCCTTTCCTTACTGTAAACCAAATAATTTTCATGAGCGATTTATTTTCACAACTTTAGAGAATAGAAAAAAAACATAAATCGTCACAAATATTCCCCAATAGGATCTTCTCTTGTAAGAATACATTAGCAAAGTTGCTAAAATGGAGATTTAGATAAGGAAGGTCTAAATATCAATAAATATATCCAGGAAATTAAGTTGGTTGACTGTTTACAGTATAAATTAAACTGTCTGAAAATAAAAAGAAAACCATCTCAGGACACAATAATAAAATTAATACAAGGTTGTACCAGCTTATATGAACATGTGTGTCAATATTTCAGCATGTTTAATTTTCAAAAACTGTGTGGCACATCATTCAATATGAAAAATTTCATTCATGGAAAATCTAATTGCATAGTAAAAACAAGGAAATTCATAAATATCTAATGCAAATAAAATTTACCATTGGTTCATAAACATAAATATAATATAATATAAAAGCCAGGACAAACAAGTACTCTGATATACATTATAAATTAGATTCCTTTTCTAATTATTTATAAACCTGTCTACATATTCAATTACATCAATGTTCTATTTCTTTTACTGTAGTCTCTTGTGGAAAGTTGTCTCATTGGCAATCATACCACATCTTCTTATTTTATACCTATACAATTGTACTGGCATTTCTTGTTCTGTATCCCTGGTAATGCAAGTTTTAAAAATATTTTAAACTCACATTTCAGCGAAACATTAGTTAGTTAACAAAATAAAAATTAACAAAAAGCAAAAGTAAAAACAGATGTAAATGAAAGCAGATGTGAGTTTCACAGGAGACTTTTTGTAGATTTCATCAAATTTGGTCCATCCAAGGAATGTTTTATAGTACTCTTGTCTTAAAGGAGAGTTCCAGGATAGTTGTCGTTTCAATGTGGAGGTTGAAAAAATTGTATCATGTGACATTTTTCTATGCATTCGTCTAATTTTTCACACAGGCGAATTAAATGATTTAAAAATATTTCTATTTTAAAAATTATACAACATTTTTCTTCCGTCGAGCGAACAATACTGGTTTTTAAACAATATACCAGATATACCAGTATAGATGTCTGCCCCTATCCTGTAGTGGTTTGGTTTAAATCACAACCCCCCCCCCCCCCCCCCCCCCCCAGTTTCCTGGTCGAACAACAATCACTATCGATTCAAGCAACACACAAATATACAAAAATACAATTATACACACACATTTACACAATTTCCTTATTATAAGTTGTGTTTTATTCTTTCGCTTTGCTCTGATAGATATCCAAGCTGTTCATGTAAGATCTGAAAACATCCCATAAGGGGTCATATTAAGATATCCTTTAGCAAATTTTCAATCAGCCTATCATTTTGAGTGACACACTGCTGGCACTTTGATTTGAATTTATTCCACAAACATAGATAAGCCCATTTGGATAAAAACTTATGCATTATAATAATTATTTACAAACTTATAAATTTAAAATATAAAAATAAAGAAACCAATGACACTTTACTGTTTTGTTTAATTGAGTTTCAACTTTGAATTTCAGAACAGTTTACCCAACAACATGTTGAAAATCGATAGTAAAAAATACTGAAACTTTGGCAAAGAAAGATTTTATTGGATGATAAAAGGTCACTGAATATGATCCCTTATGGGATGTCTTCGAATCTTAAATGAGCGATGAACAATCTATCGGAGCGGAGCGAAGTGAAAGATCTGATTTTAATCAAATTGTGTTAAATATCACATATTATCATCATCTTCCCCACTGTTACATTCATGTTCATTTTGGCATGTTTCATATCAGAAGCACATGTTAATCTTATGTCATTGCAAACATAAAAAAACAATAAACCAAAATATTCTTCTTTATGGATATAAAAACTTGGCAGAATGCTCACAAATGAAACATAAAGAGTCCTTCAAGAGCTATCTGACCCATACTCATACCAGTATTCATACATTATTCCAGAACACTACAATATACGGAAAGGGTCACAAACATCAGATGCCTATAAATTTTCTTTTTTTTATTTGGGATTCAGTCTGAGCATGGAAATCAAAAGCAATATTAGAGGGTCTGGATGGGGTCCTTCATTTTTGTATTCTGTAATTTTTCAGGTCATTATTCTCTGTCCTTTATTTTTTTGCCATAAATGTCTCTATTCTATACTCTTTGAGTCCATTTTTAAGAGATTTAGCCCATTATTCTCTTTTCTGTAGACACCATCTGGACATTCATATTACAACGAGCACACCTGCAAAGGTTTTTTTTTTCATTTTCTATGAGGACAAATATCTAAGGAGCAAGATATTAAATATGAAAAATTTGTTTGAAAACAATAGAAAATAAAATTTACCATTTTTGTTCTTGAACGATATTTTTTGCTTTGGGAGGAGACCTGGAGATTGTCGGTTACCTGGTAACACAAGAGTGATTCAGAGGATAGAGATCTACTTAAAATAATATTTTATTGTTTGAACTATCTTGTCAAGACTAAAAAAACAATTAAATTTCACTGTTTATAAAAAATGACATATTAATTTTCATAAGTTAAAGACATTTCACATCTGTTTGAAAAGTTCTCAACCCTAAAAAAAAAAAGTAAAGATGATGGGAAGAAAAGCTTGAAAATATCTTTGGAATTCATTATCAAAACACATTATCACCTTGAGGTCAATTGGAATTGACTTCTTTGATTCAATTCTTCTACAGATGTAACAATTCCAACACATAAATTCAGAATTTTACACTAAACTGACTAAAAAATACACTGATAAAAAAATTTCTGTTATCAGTTATATTAACTACAAAATGTGATATCCACTATTTTTTTTAAATAAAAGGGAAATAACTCCTTCATATTTTAATATGTTAATCAGGAGTATATTGAAACAACTCAACAATCACCTTCTGAACTTTCAGTACGATTTGATAGCACTGTCAAGGGAAATAACTCTTTCAGATTTTAATATGTTCAGCATTAGAAAGTTTAAACAGCTGTACCATCATCATCTGAACTTTCAGTACGATTTGATAACACTGTTAACAACTGCTCAAATTTTGATTGTCGATCTTCTCTACCTACGACTACTCCTTTTGCACCCCAACATATTCTCATATGAAATTCTGTTCTAAATATATCACAAGTTTTCACATCTTCAGTAAAGTTCTTAATGACCGATTGTCCATTAATTCTGTAAGTTCCACACTGTGCTGTTACCAGCCTTGCAGTATCTAAATGCGTCAATAGAATGTCCAGTCCTGAGTTCGGATCAGATGATTCCCATGGAAGTTGCATGGATGTAGTGTCAATACTTCTCTCTAGTAAAACAACAAGTGGTGCAATGTCAGGAATACAGACATTTTGTAAGGGAAGTAACCCACTCCCATCATTGAGAGTCTTAAATGCAGTTTTGAGTTTAGTGTCGAACACAAAAGCACTGTTGGTGTGATTCTGACGTAAAACTAACCATGTGTCTTTCAATCTTTGTATCTAAAAAACAATATGCAAAAGTTTAACATTATAAGGGCATTAAGCTGCATTAAAACATTATTTTCTATCAAAACCTTGAGCAAGCTAAAGTAGAGTATTATATATATGTAAAAACATAATGTCACTGGTTTTTTGTAAGTACATGTACTAGTAAATTAACAATATTGAAGAGTAAATAAGAAAAACAGTGAAAGATAGATATGATTCAAAATATAGGGTTAACTAGGCACAAATGTTTAAAGATAGTCTAAGAAAAAGCTATAGAATAATGGACATTATTATAAGTTACAAATAATGTACGAAGGAGCATATACCAATACCTATATTTTATTTAGAAATCACAAAGAAGATGAAAATTCCATACTCAAATGATAAAATATGTCTTGAAAATGTGTTTACCTGAGGACTCATCAGTCCTTCCATAACATTGGCAAACCCCAACATATTACCAAGTGTGGATCTGAGATGTACTGCTGTCTGGATCCACTGACTCAACATGGATGCTCTCTCCACAATCTTAGGACATGTCAAAATCATTACCATGGTGAAAATCTTTGTACAGTAACACCTGGTATAAAAAAAAAATCCTTAAAATTAAATGCAATTATAAGGCAAAATTAAATATAATGACTGAATATCTATTTATGTGCAAACTTTCTGTTAAGTTTTTCAAGCTTGTGGGTGGAAAACTGTAGGAGATGTGGATAACACAAAACTGGTAGAATATCTTATCTTTTAAACATTTTGCGGAAAAAGGTCAAAAGTTTTCAATCCTAGAAATGTGATGAAAACAAACATGACAAATATAAACTTTATCAAACAAAAAAGGTCCAGCCCAAAAGAAAAAAAATTTAAAGACGATTTCTTAACTTCTAAATAAAATTGCCATAAAAACTTGGTTATAAAACATCATTTCTATGCTATCTATCATTTTTCAAGTGGATTTATACTTTCACAACAAATCTTAATATTTGTATAATATACATTCTGATGAATAATCGTTGATGTAACATACTGCCAAATACATTTTATTCAATAATTGTAATATGATAGACCTTTGTAAAAGTATTTATTAAACCCTATTTATTATAAAGGAATTTTTCTGATTGGCAAAATGACAATCACATGATGTTGATTATTGAGTGGTTTCTTTTGACATTCTCACAAATTCTCTTACCCAGGATGACAATAATATTATTACCCTCATGGCAACCCTAAAGGAGGAGGCCCATTTAAGCCTACAAAAATTAAGTGTTACAAATCCAGGTTATTAGCTCAAAAATAATCTTTAAGTATGTGCAAACTTTAAAATGTAATATCTTTTGAATTATTATAAACATTAACAGAGATTTTACAGTTGGAAGTTGGCAATATTCCAATTTCTACAAAAAAAATGACAATATTTACATATTTTCACACATATTTGTAAGTGGGAAATATTAAAGCATCCAAGTACCACAAAAATATTTACATGAAATGTGTTGTTCATTGTGTTTAATTTACATTTAGTTGGTACTTGTTTGCACTCTGTATTTATAGGTTAAAAAACTAAGCAAGAAATTACCAAAATCCTTGAGGTTTTTTTTTTCAGGTAAATATGAAGAAGGGTTGAAAACATGAAGAATAGTTTTGTGACGTTATGAGATAAAAACTTCTTATTTTTAATTTTCAACTGTAATGCAGACATGACAGACATGAATGGAAATTTGAAAATTTTCATTTGATAGGTTGTTGCTTTATTAAAGTTCTCATATTGCAGATGTCTGATAATTGTCACAAAACTGGTAAAATACCTAATTTTCTTAAATTCTGGTCATTGCTTATTTGTTTCAATAAAACAATTTTGGTTGATGGACATCCAAAATTGTCCACTTCTAAAGGATGCCGTAATTATGTTATCGATGGTTTTTAAAACAAAAGAGTGTTTCTCAGCTATATGACGTTGTTAATGTTTACATTGACACATGTGCCCTTAGTTTCTAACGATAATTTTAAGCCAGTAGCATGATATGAAAAAAATTATTACAAAAATAGATCAAAGGAAAAATACACAAAATAGCGATATCTGTATAGTATAGGCTAACAGATAAATAAAGTTTATATATAATGTACCTACCAATTTAAAGTTTTAAAGTTTGGTAAATTACTTTAAATAGACAGTAAGGTATGTTGTAAAACATACAAACATGACAAAGGGATTAATTGATTGGTAAGTGTTTAATGCCACTTTGAGCACAGTTGATTATTTCGTAGCGCCAGTTTTTATTGGTGCAGGAGGCCAGAGTGCCCAGAGAGAACCAAGACCTGCAGCAGAAAACTGACAATCCTAGTCCATTAATAATGGATTTGAATGCACCTGCCAGGTGTGGGACTCGAACTCACAACATCAGTGTTGACAGGCTAGTGATACAGTAGTTGAACTACTTAGACCACTCAGCCACCGAGGCAAAGGGAAGTAACTTAAGATATTTTAAAAACATTTACTCTTTTTTTTATAGCAAATAATTAATAATCATACCTTTCTATTATATCTTGTCTCAGTTGACTGCCTTGTGGAAGTGTCAGTAATTCTAATCCTGATTTAACACCAACGCCTAGGTCATGTTCCTCAATGACCTTACAAAGGTCAAGGTCAAGTTTTGTAATATGATTAGCCAGTGTTTTAGGATCCCCACTTAACAGAACATTTTTCACATCAATTAAAACTGCAGGTTCTAATGGCTTGTTTTCATCTGACAACAATGAAGAAGAAAATAATTTTGGATGAAAGTTTGACTGTATCTCTATTTCTGGAATAGAAATTTGTCTGTCCAGCGTTTTAGGTGCATCATAATCAGCGTAACTATTACGATTATCATTTTGTAATGCTATTTTGTCATCAGATTCATTAAGAGTCACTGGGATATCAGGAATTTCAGAATAATCTCTTTGGTCCAGAAAGTTAAATCTAGTATCTGAACATTTCCTAGATTTAGAATCAACACATTTATAATGATCAGTCAATCCATTTTCCTCAGGATATTGTTTTTCATTTTCAAAATTATTATCATAATCTTCTGAAGAATTTTTTATGAAATTGTCATTTGTGTCTTGAGTATGATTATTATTTCTCTCAAATGCAGGATTTTTTAACCAAGATGGCGCTTGTTTAACCTGCATATAGTCAGTGTAGTCTCTATCATCCTCGACCTGAACCTCAGTCCTTTTTACAACCAATGGTTTTTGTTTATATTTTATGGAGGGAATCCTACTTGGTTTTGGTGGTGGTGGTTTATTCAAATCACTATCTGAATTAGAATTTGACAGTTTGTTAGGTTGTGGAGTCAGAAATTTGTCATGCTGTCCATTATTCTGAATGACACTGTAACCAGGAGAAGGTCCCAGAACTGGTTCACTGCCAGCTCGCTGGTGATAATGAGGGATTACAACTTGTGGTATAGTCTGATTATTTCTTGGTGGCGTTGTTCTGCCTGGTATGACAGGTAAGCTGTCAGATCTATCAATATGTGGAACACGGTGGACAAATGTTTCACTGTCCACAGGCAATAACGGTTGACTTCCTGATCTTGTTGGATGTCTTCTTTGTGAACGAGGACTTGTGTTGGGTGTAACAGATGGAGTATTGAACGGACTAGGTTTTGGAGTAGTACCACCACATGGTGTGTAATGCCCTGTTGTATTCAGACTACTCATGAATCCATATTTTGTATCATAATAACTCAATGGCATTGTTCTAGCTATTGGGTTACTTATCACAGCACCTGACGATTTTGTTATTTTTTTCCTATGCGCCATATAGAATTGTATTAAATCCTGAATAGATCCAAAAAGTTCGTCTTCAAATCGGTAAGATATTAAAGGGATGTGAGTTTCTTGTTCCTTCACTTCTGAATTTATCATAAAATGTAATGGTACTCCTTTAGTACTACAAGTTAATACAAAATCCCCAGGATGAGAACTACTGTCACGCACAAGAAAATCACCGCTTCTAATGGTTAATTGTTCAGCTCTTTGTCTAGATATACTACCATGATACCAAGGCCAATGTTTCAATTCTGACGGTTCACTTTGTAATTCTGCTATTAAATCATGCTCCAATCTTCTAGGTGCCACGTTAACTACCTGATAGTCAGGTGAATATACTGTTGGTGTAGGGGGCGACGCTGACAACCTAAAATGAAAAATATCATAACATTACATTTGAAATTAATGCACATACAATGACACTGACGGCCTAAAATGAAAAATATCCAAATATTTGGTATAAAATTAATGCACATACAATGAAGCGGAAATAGACTTAGACCGTGACACAAAGAAATTTATGACACAACATCAACTTGAACTTTAAAGCACGAAAAGTTTAACCACCGTTAAAGAGAGAAAATCTTCTTATTAACGACCAAAATCTTAAATTTTAAGATCTAAAAAACATATTGCAAATGGTTAATTACACTTAATTCTAATGTCTTCTATTATCCTTCCCTTTAAAACCTGACCTTTAACACCTTCCTAATGTGGACAGTATGTGTGTCATCTACATATGTAACTAAGGATTTACAATGATCAATCTAACATTCAAAACCATTTATTTTGGTAGATATAAACTTACTTACATGTTTCTTTTGATTTGTAAAAAAAGGGGGAGAAGATCCCATTGGGGCTAAAAAAAAAACCAGATAAAGTTAAAGAAAGATAAACAACACCATGGCCACAGAAAAAGACAGACAAACAATAGTCACAGAAAAAGACAGACTACAATAGTCACAGAAAACTTAAGGATAAGCAATTCAAACCTCACCAAAAAAACAGGGATAACATTAAGTAACCCTTTAAAATCTATTATTCCAATGATGAGTCTAATATCCCATAATACTATATAAATTCATTAATAAATAATATAATATAAAGTTGTCAGTCTCATTTTCAGTGGAAGCAATACATTTAAAAGTATGTACAATTTTAATACATGTAGCATTAAAAAAGTAACAATGTTAACAAATAGTCTCAAATATAAGACTGCATTGTTCGTATTCTAAATACCAGTATATCATATTTTTTTTTACAATTGCTTTATATTATAATATCTTTAATTAAGCATTTATCTTTGACTTATAATAATTTGATTAGGATTTGGTAAAAAGTATATATTTGCTTCGTTTAGAATTTAACACTAATCTAGTTTGAGACTTTATTTTTAAACATCAAAATCTATTAGATTCTTTAAAGTCCCAAATTATTTTTTTTAAATGTCCCCATGAGTTGTCAAATTACAAAATATATGCAATTTTATAAGTGGTAAATTTTGAAATTGATTTATTCTCCTGTACAGGAAAAAAAGTAATTTGACCTAGAACTGACTAAGCAGTTACAAGCTGCAGATTGATATCAACATTTGACAATTACAAATCAATAATCTATATGAATAAAAAATAAACCAAAAATAGTTGTTAATGATAAAAAAAAATATAATACATTACTTTTACAATAACTTTCTGTTCACCAAATACACTAAATATCATATGTATCCTATAATGGGTATATATGTATGGAGGTGAAAGTGTGTGACACATTTCATTGATTTTGATATCATAACATATGAGTTATGCTCGAGGACACAAACTGGTCATAAAATCGTAAATAAACATGGAGATTGTAAATTCTTATCATATTTAACTGACACTGACTTCAAAACATCAAATTTCTGGCAGATGTCCCATATAATAATCTGATTTTCAAATTTTATAAGAAACCACTAGATATAATCAATCACACCTTATTTTATTCTATCAATTTCAATTTATCTAGAAGTTTTCAAGATTTCATCTTTTTATCTTACTTTGTCAGTAGTTCTTAGTGTTATTTGCTTCAGACAGCTTTTGTTCAACACATTTTTCTTTTCAACTGAGGCAAGAGATTTGCTTTTAATTTTATGCTCTGTTGTGGAATTAAGAGTTGAATTATGAAATGGAAGAGATATTGTGTACATGTCAGCTCAAGACAAAATACCAATATATACTTTGACAAATCCCCTTTTATTGCTGTTCTTCATCTCAAAGACACAATGAGGCTCAAAACAGAGCTAAAATCAAACATTCCTGAAAGTTTAAAATGACTTGAACAGAATGTTTTCTTCATCATCATCATGTCAATGACAATACATCTGTGCATAACTTACAAAGATGTAGAGACATATCAGCAAATTCCAAACTATAAAGCTCAAACAAAATAACTCAATAATAATCACAGATATATAACTACTGAAAACTCCCTATAAATTATGTCATTTGTTGCACAACAAAGTTTTTTATATTCAGAATATACTCTTGGTTATGGATATTTAGGTCTGCTTTAACTGAAGCAAAGGAATTGAAAGGATAAAGGTTTCCTTTATGTGAGCTATGTTGAGTGATACAGAAGGGAAATGTTTAAAATATTTATCTGATACTGTGATAGTACAATTCTGTAGGGTCTGCGCTCCTTACTTAAAAGCAAGCCAACAAACTCTTGTGAATTCCAAATATCCAAACAAGACAGTACTTTATATGAAATAAGAAACTAATTGACATCAAAAACATAAAAAAACATATGTGTCACATAGCATTTTTAAAGATTATTTCATTTTAATATTTATTGCAATGAATCTAGTTCATTTTTGTAAAATCAAACCAAGTATTGCATTAATCCCATTAGGTTTTATCCTTACCTCAAATGAACCAAAGTTATCCTTATATCACATGAGAATATGTATTGTCCAACCTATCTGTTTATCAAGTAAGTTGTAATGTCAATTGGGCTTTCAAGTCTAAGATTACTTCCTAAGTGAACAAATACTTTGTCAACCCCTAACTCAGAGAGGATGATAAAACTTTAAGTGGCTACCACTTGAGGTTTCTCCTATATTTAGTTATAAAATGGAATCATGCTATCATGGGACGGTATTCTAGGGTCAAAAGGTTAATCTTGTATTGATTGTTAATATATGGTACAGCTGTCAACAAATTAGTAATAATATATTTTTTATCACAGCAAATAGTATCTTTTATGATAAATTCTGTTTCATTTTAGGTTTTTAGCTGTTTTTGTGTATTGTTCAGAAAAGAAAGGTACATTATTCAAAGGTGTCAAGTGCTGTATCATTTTATAAGCTTTAATTTAATTTAATGTGGCACCTGTATCTTTAATAGTTATGCATATAATTTTGTATATTTTGTGCTGCAAGATATATAAATGTGAATATTACATGATTTAAATAAAAATGTTTACCTATTAAAGTTAATCGATCATTCAGTTCAAAGTTATCCTAATTTCCCATTTAACATTTTTTAAATACATCAATGTGATTTGGTATCTTGCATGTAATAAGTAAACAGGTAATTTCTATTTGTAGATTTTTTTTCTTTTTGTTTTTGGCAAACGAAGATATAGCAAGGATTTGTATAGTAAGAAGGATTTTCTTACTATACAAATCCTTGGATATAGTTACATATTTAGTCTGTAATCATATTGTCATATTGAACAGTTTTCAATACAGCATATTCAGAATGGGACATAATGTCTCCTCTTTAAAAAGTAAATAATATAGAGCACATGATATTTTCTTAAATTTATGTTTAAAACACAGATCATCACCATCACTCATAAACCAAAATCCTTCCACACTTAGGGAGCTACCATTTGATTTTTAGGGGGGGGGGGGGGGGGGGGGGGGGGGGCTAGGATGAAATTTGAAAAAAAAGGCAGGACAGGAGTTTTGAGTAAAAAAAAAAGGCAGGATGACAATTTATGTAAAAAAAAGTCAGGATAAACTAATAAAAAAAGGCAGGAAAGAATAGAGTGAAAAATAAAAAGGCAGGACAGAGATTACAACTAAATTTTCTTCACATTTCTATTTATCCCATTTTTTTATGTTAAGAAAACAATAGGAAAACATGTGTACTGACATCCGAAACTTCCTATTTTTTCTAAGTAAAGTAGAGATCAACATGTATATAACCTGTTCTTGTGAGGTACTTAAAGTAATAATTATGTACCTTAGTGAGTAAATGCTGAAGGGAAGTGTCATGTGACCTACAACCATCAATCACATCTGTCACCGAGGATTAAAGATGACCACAAAAGTATCCTACTGACTTCATCATTTTACCACTATTCAATTACTGTACCATTTAAGGAGTAATTTAACCTCAAGTTGCGTTTTACAATCTGATGGCGCTTTAGGGGTAATTTAACCACAACTTGACACTGCGTTTTTATGATTAGATCGCTCTTAAGGTGGTACCCAACACCTTGACTAAAATTAATTTGGCTCGTTTAATATTCCTAAAATTTTGACATAATGTTTACTTTGACCCTTTGACAAAAATATAAAAATTTCAAATAATTTGAACCACACACTTTATCAGAAAAATTTCACTGGTTATATAGCAGTTTGACAAACTCTAATTTTGATCATTGAGAAGCTTAATATTTCCTTAACAATACAACGTGATTAAAACGTTAAGTTGATTTTTACAGAGTTATCTCCCTGTAGTGTTAGGTACCACCTTAAATGTAATTTAACAATAAAACAACAAGAAATGTGATTACAGCACCTTCACATTCAATATGAAAAAGTAGTGTATCTAACACATAGATTGATAGCCTGTGTAAATCAGTTTTAAAGCTATAGGGACAAACTAATAACTGTATAACTTTTATAATAAGAATGGAGAAAAAAATTCAGTTATTTTATAAAATGTCTATTTCAGACAAACTCATTCAAACTGATTTGAAAAAAAAAATCATCCTGAATTTTTGGAATTTTTTGCTTATCAATAATGATTATATAGGATGCATGTCATTTTCTTAATTTGAAGTTTAAACTGCAGATCATCAGCAGGTTTTAAAACAATACATCATACTGATAAATGTGTACAATTGTAATTACATTCTTCCATCTAATTAATCAGGACACCTTGGGACAACATTGTTTATATGTTCAGGTAAGAATATTTCAGAGGCTACAAGTCATTTTTTTGTGTGAATAATTTATCCATGCTAGGTGACACCAGAAAAGTAGAACCTCCTATGCTTTAGATCATATTACAAAGATTATCCCTATAGACATTTTTATGAAAAAATAATCATTATAAATGCCATGCCCAAAATAATAGAATAAATTGAACAATTAGGTGTAAACTTAACTTAACAAGATTGTATAATAGTATGAATGTTTTTGTTTTGACAAACACCTTAGTTCATCCCTGGTTTTTGGCGGAGCTGGTATTGCTCAATCTTCAATATTTTCTATAGTTTTTTTCAGACATGTTTGTCAGACTTGTTCATCTTTTTATCATTTTGTCCTTTTGTCCATTTTTTCTTTTTCTAATTGACTTATGGTTCTTGATTGCCCCCTGGTATATTCTCCCTCTTTATACCTACCGGTACTCACTTTCCAGTTAACATGTAATTTTGTGCTAAAAACTGGACAATCAATATCCAATATCTTGTTGTCAGCAGAAAATACCAAAGATGGGTAATTTATGCAAATGAATCAAATTTAACACTCAGAAGCAGTGGAGTAAAACTTACTGAGCTGAAGCACTGTTACTTCTCTGTATAACTGGAGTTGCTTTATGACCTGGAATAAGAAAATAATCACTGATACTTGATTTGGTCTCCATCAGCTCTGCCAATAATAATAAACAGTCATATATATTTCAAATCTTAGAAACATCTAAAGGGCAACATACAGTCTTCAACAATACATTGGTATCTACACAATATGTCAAATTCTAAATTGTTTGGAGTGTATAAAAGTAGTGAGTAAAATTAACAGAAACAATAATAAATTGCTTCGTCGAGCGCAGCTGGATACAACCGCAGAGGTCCAACCCTGAACAGTTGGGGCAAAAATGGACACAATATTCGTGCTTGATACTGGTCTGAATTTGGATTGTAATTAAATATTTGACACATAATAGGTTTCTGACACAGAATAACTGTAGTCAAAGAATTTAGAATTGGTTATAGGATTTGAATTTATATTCAATTTTTTGCTTTTGTTTGTGCAATACACTATGCTGTTGCAAATTGACCCCCCCCCCCCACCCCCACCCCCCTTTTTTTGCAAAAAAAAAAAAAAAATATTTGAAGAAATTTTCTTTTTAATTTCTGAAATCTGAAATGATAAAAAAAAAATCTTTCCCTCAAGATATGGTCATAATCTCATTTCAAATTTCCATTGGAGTTTGCAACCATAATTGCCCATTTAAATACATCATTAAACTCTTAAAATAGAAAATGACATACATAATCATGGCTAAAATTAATATTCCTTAATCAGCATTTTTAATAGTAACTTCTAAAAATAAATTGACAGCTAATCACCTCAAGACAATACAACATTTCTTTATACATAATTTATAAAAGCAGTGTAAAGGAGGTAATCCAAACATAACATTGTACTTTTAAGTAATTGTCCATTAACCAGGAAACCCTTGTTTTTCCCCTTTTTTTGCCCCTTATTCCTAAACGGTTTGAGCCATAACCCCCCAAAGCCAATCCTAACCATCCCTTTGTGGTATGGAAACATGTGGTCTAATTTCAGAGAGATCCATACATCTTTCCACAAGTTATTGTCTGGAAACAGAAAAATGCTTATTTGGGCCCCTTTTTGGCCCCTAATTCCTAAACTGTTAGTACCATAACCCCCAAAATCAATCCCAACCTTCCTTTTGTGGTTATAAACCTTGTGTTTAAATTTCATAGATTTCTATTTACACATACTAAAGTTATTGTCCGGAAACCATATGTCTTCGGACGACGCAGACAACGACGACGAAGACGATGACGTGATACCAATATAATTTTTTTACGGTCTTATAAAAAGATCTGCCGTTAGCACCCAATTCTAAAAAAAAACAAAGAACATGAAGTTGTTAACACAAACAACTACTCAGGAGGATCACTTTTTACCATACAGGTGAGCTAAAAAAATAAGTCAAATTTCAGAAATATTTTCCTATTTGATTAATACAAAAGTTCAACAGGTCTTTCATATACAATACCTCTCTCATATCTGTCTTTAAGAAGTCTAAGGCTAGACACAATTTTAGCTCTGTGGGCTCCATTCTTCAATCCAAGATCTTTAATATCTGATTCACCAAGGTAGATCAAATCCTGAAATTGATATTTAAGTCAATACCATATGACATATTTCTCAAAATTTATTTGTTTATAGTTTAGTTTAAACATATTTGTTTTGTTTTTGATTACAACAAATTGATTTCAACTAAAATACATCTTGTTCAGGCAGGAAGCCAGAAAATTCAAAAGTAGCAGTGATATAAGGTTCCACTTGAAAAAAGAGATTCAAGTTTATTTTGTTGAAATGTTTGGTGTTCAAATGTTTTGAAATTGAAATGGGGGTTAAAATTTCTTGACCCCTTCTCTGATTCAACCAATGGTATTCTCCTTTATACTTTTACAAAAACACTTATATGCATAAATTGGCTTTAAACAACACCTCATCTTTTATAAATATTAGTATCATTATACAGATTTTTTTCTTTCTGATGCAACAATTTATCAAATACTCTCAACAGGCCAGATTGTGTAGACTGTTTTTTAAACAATGGAGAAGGGTGTTTACTAAAGTCCGGAAAAATGGGTATCAAATTAATTATGGATGTTGAACAACTTCAACATGTGTGCAAATTTTTTGTGAATGTTAAGGAATCTGGGTTGAAAATTGTAGTAGGAGCTGATTACACAAACTGGGTACCCATTTTTCTCCACCTGTCTGCCCCACATCACAATACTATAAGGTTGTTTTGAACCTTGTCCAGCCAGCCAAAAATGCCAAAAATGTGATTTATATAAATAAATATTAAACCAAAAAAAGAGAGATAGATTGGCAAATGGAAAGACAAATGAGATGGATAAGAATATATGTGTGTTGTGTGCAAGTGTATGGTATGCTAACTGAATCATGAACATTTTATTAAATTGTTATATTTATGAAGACCAATATTTGAAAGTACCAAAATATCATTTCCCTAAAAATCACTTACTTTCAGCATTTCAAATCATGGAGCAGATATCATATTCTAACAGTTTTAAAGCATTGAGTCATGTGGGTATATAGGTAAGCTTACCCCTTCTCCATTATAATCATGGAACACCCCCATTCTATTCTGACAGTCCCAAGGCCGCCTCCAGTCATGTTGGTATAGCTATATGTTTGTAAGCTTACCTCTACTCCATTATAATCATGGAACACCCCCATTCTATTCTGACAGTCCCAAGGCTGCCTCCAGTCATGTTGGTATAGCTAAATGTTTGTAAGCTTACCTCTACTCCATTATAATCATGGAACACCCCCATTCTATTCTGACAGTCCCAAGGCTGCCTCCAGTCATGTTAATTGGTATAGCTATATGTTTGTAAGCTTACCTCTACTCCATTATAAGTATGGAACAGCCCATTATATTCTGACAGTCCCAAGGCCTCCAGCCATGTTGGTATGGCTATATGTTTGTGGGCCATCACCTGCTGCCTTTCCAATACTATCCTGAAATTAGAAAATACAAATTTCTTTACTTATAACATTCAAAACTTATACAGACTTTTATATATGTATCCTCAAATATATCTAAAAAAGATCAATTTTTTTTTACTGTTTCTTTTTAGTCCCAAGCTGTATTAAATATCTTGCTAAATCACATGTACTGTAAATTCAGAAATTATTGCGAGGTTTTTATTAATGCAAATAATAATACTGGGTTAGTATCAAAATAATTAGACTTTGCATTCTGATATCTGATACATACATCTGTATGCAGATTTTTCTGAAATCGCAATAATTAATCTCACATTGTTGTCCATTTTTTTAAAATTGTAATAATAAATGCATGCAATAACTTCTGAATTTACAGTATTTTGTCAGAATCACTGAAGTTTATATTCAGTGACACTGAGCAAGCCAACAGACAAGAATCCAAGTGTAAGTCTATCATTACATAGTCAAGCTGGTTGTAATAAAGTTACATTTCATTGACAAAATCAATATTTTTCTGTCCTGATAAACTAAATAATTCAGACCCTACCCTTAATAGATCTCTCCTTTCTCATGATAATGTAGCCATTGTAAAACACCAGAATATATTGTGTTAAGAGTCTTGATAGTTGATTGGTTTTATTTAAATGTGAAAATAAGAATATTTGAAGTGCACTTTTTGAAAAAGGTCTGCTTATTAAAATTGCCTATATAAAAGGAATATTTGAAAAGACAAAAAAAAAATCATCATCAATAAAAATTCAAAAAAATCTAAATACTGAAATCTATCAAAATATATTTAAGCATCACCTTGTCTTTGGATCCTGGACCTGTTTTGGATCCATTGAAAAGATAGGCAACTCATTATAAAAAAGGATATATGAAAGAATTCAAATTCAAATTCAATGGCTCAAGATTAGTAGACATCTTTGTATAAAGTCAGTTTTACATCTTTTGATGTTTGATGTATTTTCCGGATAAACAAATCAAGAAATTTAATCCTAATTCCACCTTTTCAAAAATCTTGTGTTACCTGCTTATTACCTCAATTATTTAAAAAGAAAAACACATGAACATCAAATCACTTCCTCAACAGGTGAGAAATCAAAAGTTACATTTTAATTAAGCAAGGAAATCAGTCTGTTACCCTATTATCAGCAGTTAATCATTCATCCAGTAGAACTTCACACAGTTCACAGAAAAAGACAAGTAATGTTTGTATACTTTGATAAACAGTCGATAAACAACATTTCAGCTATTTTTTGGGATAAGACACACCAGGGGAGTTGTCTTATTATTTTGATAGGAAGTTATTTAAGTAGCTTCATCAATATTTTATGTAGCATTAAGTAACACTTTTATGAATGATTTCTATATATCTTTTTTCAGAGATCTCTGTTAGATAGGGGAGGCAACTCTAATCTTTTTAAACATCAAATGTTCAAATTAATTCAAATTTCTTTGAAACACAGTTTGCAAAAGCGGTAGTTAAGTATTTAAGTAAGAGATCTTTCACAAAAAATTGTGTACTCAGTTAGGACATCTACTAGTCATTTATAGCGGTTGACCTTTGACAGGAAACTAGAAATTACACAGACAGAAAACATTAAATAAATATATTTCTAATCCAATAGAGGATGACTCTAAGTTTCTTTTTTAATTTTAGATTAAACAAAATTCTGAGATTTATAAAAATAAATTTACAAATAAATAATTTAAACAGGGATATAATCTTATAAGACAAAATAACGGCAATACTAAACTCTATACATAATAACAAGAAACAAGTAAAATTACTTTGTTCCCTTTTAAAACAGTCACTAGTACTGGGGATAGGAGGCATTAAAGTCTTGTTTGTACCAAATATTATTGTTTCATTTGTACCAAATATTATTGTTGTCTATGTAGAGAGTACATGTATTTACTGTTTATGTTATATATAGTACTTGTTGTGATCTGTATATATACTAGTATTTCATTGACCCTCTATTGGGCGTTATTTGTGCTTAATGAATTTGAATTATTACATGTTTAACTGAGCTTTCAAATATAAAACTTTTCTTTTTTCAAACTTTTTTTCCAAAACTTCAACTTTGCAGCTAATGAAATTGCTGTTTTTAATCTTTTTAATTTAAAATCCACAGAATTAACTGTTTTAATGATATAATATAATCACATGGTCATCGACTTCGTTTTTAGACTATTAACCAATCTGTTATCTAGTTGGAAGTGAAAAACGTAAAAATCAATGTTTTAAGTGGTCTACAACACGATGATACTACACTTATTTCAACAGTTTTGGTATTCTTTCACCTAGAACACCACTTTGAATGATTGTATAATGTAAAAACCAAGTCTGTGACCCTATTATCTTTTTTTTTATTGTTTTTAAAGTAAAATCTATGGATTTGAAATTGGAAGTTTGATGATTTTAAGACAAATTTAAGAACATTTTTCACCAATTTTATGTGCTTCTTTACAAAATTCACCTATTTTGAAAGAATTTAATCAGAAAGATATGTCAGATAATAAAAGAGATAAATGCAGTATCTTTTCAATTTCCAGATATAGTTCAATGAGCCAAGATTTTACCAAAATCTGTGATGTAGCCCATTTATTTTAATTTGACCTTAGAAGACATTGTATGAAACAGTTCCTATTACCTGCATAGGTTATGTGTTAGTTCATCCAATCTTTTCCTTCCCGTCTGTAATTGTCTTGTTGTTAATTCCATTTCAGTTATAATTTATTTATTTTCCAAATAAGCTAACACTCTATACCAAAAGTTTTACAATATTTTTTTTTAGATGCTGCACTTTTCAGATATTTACGTAATACAACTCACTAACATGCATCTAGTTTTGGTTTTTCCATGTCAAAACGGATTCAACAAATATTTGTTCAAATTATCAAACCACATGCCAATTTAACTATAGTTTTCCATTAATCCTTCATAAAAAAATCATCAATTACGAAATATCTTCCTCAGTCAAAAAGATGTTTTCTAATCATAACACTATCCAATACTTGAAACGGACAATTTTTATCTTCTAATTGTAATATTATGTCACTGGCTTGTAGAGAGAGAACAATCCCAGTCAATTGAGCTCTTTACCTCTAATCAAACCCTTGTTAGATTTCATCCAGAAAAAAAACTATATTTCATAATCATAATCTATAATATCTATTTCCGTTGAAACAAATCTTGGGCATCAGTTTCTTATCAATATCATCTAAAAGCATCTTCTTTAATGATCATATGGGTGTTTTTTATGCAAAAAATTCTGATAAAAAAAACATTTAGTTTTCGAAAAAAAAAGTAAATAAATTGTAATATGTTCAAATAAGGTATGCTTGTCACTGCAAAGGTTTAAGATATATTTCACTTCATTAAATATCATCACTTGTGGCATATAATAATGTAACTGGAAATTTTACAATATGATCATTGCCCTTTTAGTTGGACTTTGACAAAACATCAAAATTCACCAATATGAACAAGCATTATATAATCTTCATTTGTCATTTGAGTGGATTAGTCATAACATCCATTTGGGAAAACAACAAACATCAATCTTCCAAAAGCTTCAGAAAACCTGTTGTATCCAATAGTCAAGTATATCCAATAAAGCACCAAATTACCGACACTTCCAATTGAAACATTCAAGCCATTTTCCATTAAATTCATTGTCACAATTTTCATAACTTGCAAAGCTGTTTCTGTTTACAACATCTACTTTATTCAAATTCTGTCATAACATCAAATCAAAGATTTTAAATACTAATTCATAACTTTTTATCCGTAAAATAAGCATTTGTTCAAATTGAACACCAGCACACCATGTTTCTATTCAACCTTTATAGTGTCTTATCATCCACATCACTTAAGATATAGAACCCTAAATATAAACTTGAAAGACTTCATAAATACAATGGTTGATCTTTAGATAACTTTAATCCAAAATATCATCACTTGATCAAACCATAGTCAGCAAACATTAGTCAATGGTTTAAATAAATCAGAAATATTTATACACTAAAAAAGTACACTTCTTTATCCAAACTAGCTGGGATCAGTAGCAGTTACTTCAAATAAATTTTACTGTTGAATAAGTTGAACCTCCCTAAACTATCCACAAACAGTTTATAGTGCATTAAGTCCTTTCAAAAGCAATTTTCTACCATTTAGCAATTCAAACATGCAGTATACATGTACAAAGTTTATCACACTCAGATTACAACTATAAAATAAACTGCCTTTAATCCAAATCAATCCCATGTAATATTATTCTATATTTGTTTCAACCTTGTTCGATTGAACTTCAGTTAAAATAAAAATCCATTAAAAATCATAGACTTTTATAACATACACATTGACTCAGCACTCCATCAGTATTATTATATATTTTTTTTTAAAGTGACCGCCTTTTTATTGTTCATTTCGTCAAAATTAAACTACGGAACACAAAACTTTGGTCACTGTTTGCTTTCCTTATCAACCGGTCAACATCCTTTCAATGGGAACTCTTTTTTTATCCCTTACGATATCTCTTTAATTCCAAGGTTTCGTTATTCGGAAGATAAAATTGATCAGAATTTGATCAAAATTTAATTATATAAGATTTAAAAACCATATACTTCAAGTAAGTAAACATTATTATGAAAAATGTTTCATAAAAAAGTCTAATAAACTTTTATTTTGTAAATCCTACATCATTAAAAGATAATTTAGGTTACTCCACTACATAATGAGACAGATTTTAAAATGTTCACATGAACTATATCAAATTTTGTCATAAAAATCTGAACCAAGTGGATACATTTTTTTCAGAAGATCAAACATATAGACATTAGAATAAAATTTAAAAGGACTTAAAAAGTATCTTCGATAGATTCTTTATAAAAATATATGTTCAAAGTTAGCTTTACTATAGTGTAAAAAGTTTGTATGGTTTAAAGTTCCTATTGACAGTTATCTAAACACTTTGTAATGTACTATATACACTGAAAAGATC